AATTCTTGAAACATATTAAAGTTGAGAAAGAAAACAACTTGTATGGCTTTCTGTTCTTAAACGTTTGTGAGGCTGTTATATATATGTGTGTAAATGTGTTTATGTTATTGGTATAATAATTGCACTCTTGTTATGACCAGTGAAGTCTTCTACTGTATTTATTAATGCTTCTTACACATACATTTGTAAATTATTTGGATTACATGTTTAATATTTCCTATTTGTGCATCACCTATTTTGACAGAAAGTTACTGAATTGTCGATCTGTTCTTCGAATGAGCTATTTAGTCAGCATCTGACTCAACTGATGATGTATCTGGTTCTGTTGTATCATCAGACGAATGACAACCCCAAACAACAAGGCTGGAATCTATGCCTCCATTACATTTCAAGAACATGATCTGCCTTTTTCTAGACCTCTAGGGTAATTCTAGGAATGGATGTGTGCATCAATTCTTCAACCCGTGAGAGTTTAAATGTTGTTTCTTGCAATGAACCCGTAACAGTTCATCTACATAAGCTTAATAGGGTTGAGTCCACAATATCTGACAAGCATACATAACACAACAGGGCTATTGCGCAGCCAAGGAATCTGTCTTAAACTGGATAGGTTTCTTTTTCAGACAGATTTTCTCCCTGAGTTTTTCTCCATGTTTCAGATTGTCTGAAGTCAACAAGAGTCCTATATCAGACTGTTGGTTGTTGGCGTGACAGTACCTGCTTCATGGATGATGTGGTAACTATCAGGGGTGCAATGTTACAACATTTAATGTAAAAATTACTCTTAATGTAAAACATTTTACATTAAGGGTTATGTGTTAACTCTTGATACAACCCTTAATGTAAAAATTACTCTTAATGTAGAACATTTTACATTAAGGGTTATGTGTTAATTCTTGTTACAACCCTTAATGTAAAAATTACTCTTAATGTAAAACATTTTACATTAAGGGTTATGTGTTAACTCTTGTTTTAACCCTTAATGTAAAAATTACTCTTAATGTAAAACATTTTACATCAAGGGTTATGTGTTAACTCTTGTTACAACCCTTAATGTAAAAATTACTCTTAATGTAAAACATTTTACATTAAGGGTTATGTGTTAACTCTTGATACAACCCTTAATGTAAAAATTACTCTTAATGTAAAACATTTTACATTAAGGGTTATGTGTTAACTCTTGTTACAACCCTTAATGTAAAACATTTTACATTAAGGGTTATGTGTTAACTCTTGTTACAACCCTTAACGTAAAAATTACTCTTAATGTAAAACATTTTACATTAAGGGTTATGTGTTAACTCTTGTTACAACCCTTAATGTAAAAATTACTCTTAATGTAAAACATTTTACATTAAGGGTTATGTGTTAACTCTTGTTACAACCCTTAATGTAAAAATTACTCTTAATGTAAAACATTTTACATTAAGGGTTATGTGTTAACTCTTGTTACAACCCTTAATGTAAAAATTACTCTTAATGTAAAACATTTTACATTAAGGGTTATGTGTTAACTCTTGTTACAACCCTTAATGTAAAAATTACTCTTAATGTAAAACATTTTACATTAAGGGTTATGTGTTAACTCTTGTTACAACCCTTAATGTAAAAAATACTCTTAATGTAAAACATTTTACATTAAGGGTTATGTGTTAACTCTTGTTACAACCCTTAATGTAAAAATTACTCTTAATGTAAAACATTTTACATTAAGGGTTATGTGTCAACTCTTGTTACAACCCTTAATGTAAAGATTACTCTTAATGTAAAACATTTTACATTAAGGGTTATGTGTTAACTCTTGTTACAACCCTTAATGTAAAAATTACTCTTAATGTAAAGAATTTTAACATTAAGGGTTGAAGTGATAGATAATATTTGTTTTACATTAAGGGTTATCACTATGAAATAATACTTATCGAACTTTCATGAAACTCTGCAGATTAAATTGACCGTTTTTTTTTGTCTAGATGTGCAAATGACTAATCACTTTTAGATTCCCTCTCTACAACGACCACCTGGTTGTTAGAATGGTCCATTAACAGAGTTTTAGGCATAAAATAATGGGCATTTTGTTGCAGTATTACGGATATGACAGTTAAGCATACACCAGAATCATATGCTATTACAAACGAAAGGAATTCCAATGCAATTTTTTTTTAAAAAAGCCCCGTAGGTTTCCCAAGTACCGTGCCAAGTCAAATATAGCCACTTAAAGTTTACAGTTTTCGGATATGAAGTCTATACCTTTTCTATAGCAGTTTATAGTGAGCCTATCATCATTATAAGGAAAATAATTGTGAGAGTGTCACAAACCATTTACCACTAAAATCCTAAAGTGAGTAAAGATTCCGCTTTTCAAGTTAAACAATAAATATCATGTTCAACCACTTAGTGTTTGAATTAATAATTTACTGGATAGCTGGTAAATTAAGTTTTTTTCCCTAATTTTTTTCTTTCTTTTTTAGGTGTAAAAAAATTATGATTTTTTTCCAAGGTGTAAGCAATTGCTGTTCTGCTACAATGGTAGTTTTGCCCCTGACTATCGTTCTCCATAACAATGACACTGGGGTAATTGCAATAAGGCAGCAGCTGATGTTTCATCCAATCTTTTTCACCTCAAAGGTCACACCCATTAATAAGTCCCATTTCACAGGATCAGGCATACAATACAATGATGGTAAGTACCCTTACAATGATGGTACCATGGCGCCTTTGTCCATCTTATAGTAGCCACATGTAGTCAGTGGAATGTTTTTTATTTACCAAGGTAAATGAATTGGAACCACTGACAGAAAAAAACATAAATCATGTGATCGCAAAAACTGCTCTATCATCATCATGTGCAGTGTACTTAGTTCCCCTGTCATGAAGAGTGATGATTAATGTAGTCTTGGAACATTTATTGTGGCCTAAATTTAATCCTACTACAGGTCAGTGGCATCTTCTGGTCGTACAATTATTACACTGTAAACGTAATCAACCTTTATCAAAGTTGTCCAACATCCATTCCAACCCTAACTTGTTTCTTTTATTTACGACACCCTAGACTATTTGTTATATCAGTTTGATAATACACACTATCCAAACTAATAAAGGGTTAACCCCAACTTTCTCGATCGTAAAGAATGTAAACATATTTGCTACGGACGACTCCATGTCGTGAATTATAGTTTTAGCAATGCTCTTGTAATACATCATGCATCATGGGTGAGGAGAGGTGAAATGGGGTTTAACATCGCGTCCAAGATTATTGCACTTATATAGCGACGAGGATGCACGTGTGTGCGTGTGTGTGCGTGTGCGTGTGCGTGTGTGGCTGCTTGTACTAGTCCGGACTGATGTTGTTTTATAGTGCTAGAACACTGAGATACCATGCCACAGTTTAACATGAATATCACACTCAGACACAGTATACTGACTCCGAGCCAACCAGTCCTTGTTTTAGCCCCTTAATGCCGAGCGCCAGACAGGGTAACAACAAGTATCATCTTTTAACATCTTTTGGTATGATGCAGCCGAGGATCTAACCCCGGACCTTCCGCTCTCCTGGTGGACGCTCTACCACTAGACCACGGAGGCGTCCTGCATCATGGGAGCAGTGTTGACCAAATATATGCTGTATATGGTCATTTTGTCATTTTGTGTAACAAAAATGTTATTTACTTGTTTTTGTGAATATAATGAATAATGAAGTTTAAATTATAATAACTATACAGAGGTCTCATTTGTATATTTCTAAAGTTTGTTTCAGACTTTGGTTGATGGCCTTCACCACTTCCTCCTTTATTGTAAAATGTATTCTTGTGAAATTACACACAATATAGCAACACATTAACAATCAGGTATGTCGACCAGTAGTTATACACTATTTCACTAGCACAATTGTTAAATCTTATAATTATTTAAAGAACAAAATGCTTATTGCTAACATTTCCAACAGTGTTTTAGTCCTCCATTTTACGAGTGCAAGTGACAGGATGATGCAATCTCATTAAAGTCAGATATTTCACTCAGATACAATACCTCTCTGTACTTCATGAAGACTGCACCATTGTGTTTTTGTGGATGGTTTGTACACCCAATTGTATCAGCACCACATGGCACCTACACCCAAGAGGGAATACCAGCAAAGGAGTATTTGTCATGCATGGACTTTCTTTGGTTAAAACTTTTTCTCGAAAAGGAAATGTATTAAGAATTGAAACCAAATCATTTTAGAAAGGTGACATCTGTCATGTCATTGGTGACATGGCCCAAGAACACAAGCATACTTCATGTAGGTTGGGTGGTCAAAGGTCACTCAGAGGTCACCAGACATGACCTTCTGTAGAAGTGTCCTAAGATCTTCATGCAGAGAGGTATTGTATCAGAGTAAAAGATCTGATTTAATGGGGCTGCATTTTAATGGACCCTGGCAGAAACAACTGTCAATGATATATCAATCCACTACATATGTATATGATTCACTATGTATATGATTCCTGTTTAATTGGCTTCAGGTCTCATTGGCTTCCACCTCATGTGTTCTGTCCATCATGTTGTTACAGAATTATCCTTCTGTTGTCATTACTTTACTTTCATGTTACCCCACTCATGTATGCAATTATTGTTACTGTTAATCCTCCACCTACTGTATATGTTCTGTCCCATGTTCCTCATTCAGTCTTGGTTGACAACGGTATAAGGATCTATACTGAAACGTCGCCTTTACAGTATTTAAAGAAGTTGGTTTCATGAATAGTGTCTACTTTGGAACCTGTTGCCTTTGAATTCTCCAGAAACAAACCCGCCAATCACGTAAACCCAATTCCAAATTGTTGGCTTGGAAATGGCAAAATTTAATTTCAAATATAACAAAAGTTACCAGGTACCCACTGCCCAAAACATGTAATTAGGGATACACCCTTGGCTCAACAGGAATCACAAATATTATTCAAGACAACATTTTCCATCTGTCCTAGCTATCGGTAGGTATCTCCGAGATGCCAATCACCTACCTGTATATGTCTCGAGCCATTCCAAAATCTGCAATCTTTGCCTTTCTTTCAGAACCTTTTGTTGTTAAGAGACAGTTTCTTGCAGCAATGTCTCTGAAAATTAAAAAAGAATTCTCATCAATTTTGTTTCTTTATCACCTCCTTGATCCATATTTCAGTTATATCACAGCATGTCAGTTTGATGTGGGAGGAAATCCAGGAAATCCAGAGTGAATGAGTAGGGGTGACTATTGGTCTGGAAATCACTATTGCCATAACTATTGATATTGAAAAAAACTATTACGATAATTATTGATATTGCAAACACTATTGTGATAAATATCGATAGTTTTCAGTGTATCATTTTAGTTGGATTTTAGAGTTGAATTAAACCTTGGAACTGAAGTTTCCTTTGAATGTGATAACCATAACAACAAATAAAAAATATAGTTTGAGATATGACTGATTTGTTTTTTCTTTACCCTAATAACCTAAAAAAAAGAAACTTCCACACTACCATGTGTAAATTACTACCACTCATGATCAAAAGAACAAGTTTGAACAGCATTGTATGTACTTTATTGATACGGTAAATACAATCGAAACTATCAATATTCCTAACTGAGATAAATACTATTGATCGGAAACTGATTTAACAATTGATTTATTGACTTTAAATGCTTACCAACAGCAATATATCAATATTTCCATTTATCGTGACACCCCTGAGTGAGTGAGTGAGTGAGTGAGTTGGTTTAACGCTGCTTTAAACAGTATTTCAGTTATATCAGGACAAAGAAAGCTTGATTGTGAGAAAAGCCAAAAGGATGCATGCTTTCAATGTTTACAACTTTGGGGAAACCCATGAGCAAGGGTACAGTGCTGACAAACCTAAAAACATAATCAGGCAATTCTGAGATTCGAACCAATGATCAAAGGTCTCAGGCACACCTAAGGAGCACAGATCTGCACATTTGTGGCACCTTAGATGGCTACAAAATGAAGCAAGATGGTGAAGAGTGGTAAGTTTGGTTGTTGGTTTTGCACAAGGCAACTGTTTCATTCCCTGCATGGATTCAGTATGTGAAGCCCATTTGCAGCAAGTGGACATCCCATTGTTCCATTATTCTGATGAAAATAATCTTGTAAAGAAGGAAGTGAAATACTACTTGACACTATGCAAATGTGTTCCCTTGTATCCCTAAAATGTTAATGCATTTTTTCAGATGAAGGAATTATCTTGATCTGATCTTTTGTTTATTTTGTAACCTTTTCTCAGACTTTGTCTTGAAGTTCCCTAAAAGCAAGGTTGTGACACATCATGCCTTTTGATACAAATCAAAAAGCTACACCAAGGATGTAAATGGCTGATCATGGTAAAAGTGGACATATTTAAGACATATAAATACTTGTAATGATATGCTAGTATTGCAATGATACTTATCAAACATGTGACCCAGTGCTTCCCATATGTATGTAGTAACATGTGGATTTGGCTAAGTGCTTAATAAATGCCACTAGCACAACAAAATACAGAGATTTATTGATTTCAATATTCAAACAGTAGGACTAAACTATCACAATGTAAACCAATCCTTTATCAGAAAAACATCAACACAAGCCTTGGTACTAAATTCTGACAGGGGTAAAAGTGTGGGTGTCTATTCTTCCTTCTTTGTGATATTCATGGAATACCGCTAAAAGCAATCTCAGTGCAGACACTCTTTGATCTGTATCCAAGACTTGTCACAATCTGTCATGTTGGCTCCACTGGATGCACCAAAGGTAGCAGTGATACAAATTGTAAAACATCCACTCAGGAGTATCTCTACCTCTATGAGATAATTTGACAATGCATCACTTGAATAACATGGAATGTCTCTTTTTAGCTGCTATGTGAATTACTAAAACAGGAAATTTGTCAAGAACAAAAAACAGTATACCAGTAATGTCTTCTTCATACAGTACTGGGTGTTGAGTAACCTGAAGCGGTGAGAGAGATTGCCTCATTTCTAAAATATGTATTGTCTCAAAGACATGGAAATGTCTCTCCATATTCATTGCTTAGTTTCAGATGTTGTTTTAAAATTTGTCCTGGTATTACACATCACCAGATGCCACCTGTGTACAATGACACACAATCAACCATGTCAGCGAGCATTGAATAAAACTGAAACTTTGTGAACCCTCAGGATAAGAACAGAGGGAGGAGATATCTTATACTGAACATTTCTGTCAACCCTGAGGAAAGAGACAGAGGGAGGAGATATCTTATACTGAACATTTCTGTCAACCCTGAGAAAAGAGACAGAGGGAGGAGGTTTCTTATACCTAACATTTCTGACAACCCTGAAGATAGAGACAGAGGGAGGAGATATCTTATACTGAAATTTCTGTCAACCTGAGAAAAGAGACAGAGGGAGGAGATATCTTATACTGAACATTTCTGTCAACCTGAGAAAAGAGACAGAGGGAGGACATATCTTATACTGAACATTTCTGACAACTCTGAGGATAGAGACATAAGGGAGGAGAAGGGAAGTTCTGCAAATACACCAGACAAGGGAGAGAAATCAAAGTCCAATGCAGCTTAGAAGACATGTCAAGAGAGAGATCCTGGCTACTGTACCCTTCCTAGACTTTGAAAGTGTTTGACAATTTGATGCAGGTTGAGACTATGCCCACACTGGTATTTGAAATAAACTTAATTAAAAACATTGCTGTTATTCTAATACAAATATTTCTAAATTTGGCCAGTTGTAATAAAACCCATTTCTCCATCATGACTAGAGGTGAAAAGAGACATGCATGCATGTCTAGACTAATGTCGGTTTTATAGTGCTAATATAAACCCACTGAGAAACCATGCTGCAGTTTACATGGATGCCCCGCTCAGACAGGGTATACCGACACTGAGCTGGCCTGTCCTTGTTTTATCCCCTTCATGCCAAGCACCAGGCAGGGTAACAACAAGTACTATCCGACACTGCCAGGGTATCGAATCTCCGATGCTCTATCCACTACATCTCCAGTTTGAATCAAAGGATGACCTACCTGTGAATGAAGTGTTTTTCTTCCAGGTGCTGGCATCCCTGGGAGATATCAACTGCCAGTCTCAGTAGGTCCATGACAGTCAAATTTGATGGCTCACTCTGAACACAAATACTTCATTATAGCAAACAACAACACTTTTATATCTGTAAACCTCTGCAATTTCTGTGCCTATCACAGATAAATATCTATAAAAATGCATAGTATAAACACAGTATTCCCCTTAACAGTTGTTGATGAGCAACATAATAATCAGATATTACAAAGAAGGGCATATATCGTTTAGGCTAACATGTGATTCACAATGTAATAATGTTACATAAATGCCTACATAAATTTGTGCGCTGTGTGGTAGATATCTACGCAGAGCTGTAGATAAGCTGCATATTTGTTTAAAATATGCATTAAAGAAACTGAGAATTGCAGACAAATCTAACTGCTACATTTGGTAAAACATGTGTATACTACTATTCATTTGTTTTTAAGTGATTTACTGGGATTATTACAAAACAGGTTTTTAAGTTGAAATACCCAAATATTAAGAGACATAGAGGCAACAAAATTTGAATACCCACTAAAAATTGTGGATTGATCCAATAAAAGTCAAACCCACAGGTAAAAAACCTCCCTTCAAAGGAATTATATACTTAATTGATCAATCAATGTTTAGTATGGTAAAACTGATAGTGTGATAAAATACGATCACAAAGTCCTATAACGAAAAGACACAAAAAATTATGTGTGAAAATTATGTGTTCATACTGGCTTTGGTCTTGAATCCCGAAGAAAGGATTTGAGATCCCCTCCTTCTAGAAGCTCCAGGACAATGAAGCGTGGCCGACCATCGAAACATACTCCCAAGAACTTCACAATGTTTGGGTGGTTGAACTTACTGAAATAAAAAGGGTAAACTTTAGTTATACTGTAAATCTTGAAATTAACGTGAGCGAAAAATACAAGTGGTCTTTGCTCGTATCAACAAAACTTCGCATTTATGTCTCCAAAATGACTATGTACAATAAGACGACCTTACTGCACTCTTTGGATAGCAGAAGAAATATGCCCTGACCCTGTGATAAATTTTGCTGTCATTTTGTCACTGACCCCACCAACAATGCATGACCTGTTCCATCAAACACAACCTCTAATTTTTCTTTGTTTTTTTTACTAATATTCAAGACAAGCTTATCCGTAAAACAAGAAACAGAATTGATCAATGTTACAGAGTATTAGAATGAATAACATCTGTTGACCTCATATATATTGCAAACATTATTTATTGAACACAGAACCATCCATAAAATGTTGAGTTCTGATTGTGCCAACATGATGTTTTCAATTTGGCTGCCACTGTAATCGATAATTTAGTGTGCCATACAACACCACATCCATTCTGAGGACATAAAAAACCCAATTCCGACACGATACATCTATTATTTTTTTTAATGTATCACCACAACGTGTGAGGGTGGTGAGATTGAATTAAGATCATCAAATTTATGTAAAATTAAATCAAACAAAACAATCTTTTTGACACAAATTGGATGTGGCTACCACTTACTACCTAATGCCAAAAGATGAGCCATGATGTTATTATTGACATGGAGACTATGTCTAAAATCAGAACAGAATAAAAGACATTCTTCTTGAATTACATGCATACAAGTTCAAAGCCTTGTGGTTTCAGAAAGGACCAAATCAGTGTGGCAACTATTATCTTGGCATATCTACCGGTATTCGAAAATAAATACTTCATACTTACTCGATATTAACAAGAGACATAAATTGATACATATGTGGCGGGGGAATGATCCCAAATGACACTAACCTTACCAAAAGGAAATCTACAGCGCTTCATCACAAAGCTAAAGATGAGTTAATTTTGATCTATTGCATCAGACTGACCAGATTCCAGGACAAGACTATTTACCAGCCTGACAGACAAATTATTGTATGAAAAGTAATGGAAAAGGTCTTACATTAAACCACTTCTATGGTAACTGAACATCTGAATCTATTCAACGTCTGAGAAATAAACTTCAATGACTACCAATATACAGATTACATAAACATAGTCACTAATAAGCATTGAAATCCATTGTGAAATCTGTTTGAATAAAAGTAAGCCAAAATATTAAAGACAATACCTGACAATAATGGCCTCCATTTGAAAGTCCAGCTCTGTCTGGTCTGTGCTTAGCGCTGGCAATGTCTGAATCAGAGAATGCATTTAAAAAGATTTGGTTCCTGTCTCATAAAGGTTCCTGAGAACTTATGTAAATGCCAATCAGCAGTTTGGGTTCGGCTTATGAGGTCATGTACATTGTTCTTAAGGAATTTTTTGCATACCTATTTGTTATTTTCATTCAATTCTTTGTTTACAATAGTTAATCTCACGTCAGGAGAACCTTATAATCAGCCAATCAGCGTCAAGACTTCTAGATTCTCAGGACAAATGAGCAAAACATTCAGACAAGCATATCTGATTTCTGAATCTCGATATGTAATATACTCGTTATCTCCTAATGAAGAAAAATTGTGGAAATTATATATATCCTGTCATTTCTGAGCCCCATGGCATCTACACCCAAAAGGATTTACTGTAAACTGTATTTGTGTGTGTTGTGGAAGTTGTGTTGTCGCTAAGGTCAAAATTGTATTTTCTAGACGGCTGTTTTCCAGTTGTCTTTTTTTCAATGATAAGAACAGAAATGGTGTCATTTTCTGCATTGCTTTTTTTTTATTGTTTTAAGGTGTTTTAACAAAAGGAAAGACAACAGTAAAACGGTCTTAAAAGACCAAACTTTCAAGTTATCTTTTCACAGCCCTGAACAGGTCACAAGGAAAGCAATTCAAGTTATGACTTTACTTCATTGTTTTCTAATTGGAAATTATTGTTTTCCAGTTTTTGCTTCAAGTAACTTAATTAATATATTACCAGTCAGGGAATAAGATCAATTAAATGCCTGACTAAAAACAACCAATAAATCTCTCCTGTCAGGTTTAGGAAATTGTCCCACATTAAGAAAGGAAGTCATCCAAAGCAGAACTGATAAGAACTCTTTCTTTGTCACTGATTGTCATCAAAGTTTCTACTAACCTACACCAATCAGTAAAACCTCCCGCTGACTAATACAACACAAAGGAAAGAAGATGCAAACTCATGCATTTCTTGAGCACCCTCATTCCCACATGATGATTTGGGCTTGATGTCCTTGACTTCCAATAGAAGCCTGTTCCCTGTTGCATCAAACAGATAAGACGTCCCTATTTTGGCCCAGGTGCTTTCATTACTGCACTGATACCTGAACAATTTTTTCTATGTTGAGCTTGACTAGTTCCAATTGTTATGATGACAACTGAGAAGATATTTTTATGTGATTACTCTCCAATCAAATTATTTTTAAAGATTAATGCTACATCAGTGAAAAATGAAAGAGCACATATTTAATAACCACAAACGAACACAAATAGGATATTAAATATTTCAGTTGCAAAATTGGATTTGCCTAAGGGTATTAGAGAATTAGGGAACTTTCAGGAAGACCAAGGAAAGCAATATGAAAGTCCCTAGTGTGCTCAATTGAGTCTCATCCCTTATTTAGAAACTGTTCTTTCTATTTCTCAATATAGGCATCTCAGATAATTCAACATCTGCAAAAGATATTGGTTCTTTAAAGTGTGTTTGGGGATTGTTCAAAATAATCCTTTTGAAATGAATACCTCCTGGATACCAAATCTGTCTCAGAAGTAGTTGCCATTTCCAATCTAACATCAATCACATATGCCACATGAACACAAATCCGGGAGTGGAACAAAATATCAAAGGGTGCCTGAAAAAAACCAACATATAATTGTTTATTGAAACACTGATTTAAAATTAAAGTATTCCTCTTTTTCTTTATCTCAAGGACAAACAAAATGTAGCTTTTACTGAATGAACAAGCAATGATGCATTAGTCTATTTTGTGTAGTTTGGTATTGGGAATGCTAACAAAGCCATATCACTTTCCATGGAGTGTCATAATTGAGAACTGATGACCTTTGTACACTAGGATGTACAATACTACAGGGCCAACTGTACACCCTCTTGTCTGTGTCTCCTGGCCAACTGTACATCCTCTTGTCTGTCTCCTGGCCAACTGTACACCCTCATGCCTGTGTCTCCTGGCCAACTGTACACCCTCTTGTCTGTGTGTCCTGGCCAACTGTACACCCTCTTGTCTGTGTCTCCTGGCCAACTGTACATCCTCTTGTCTGTGTCTCCTTGCCAACTGTACACCCTCATGCCTGTGTGTCCTGGCCAACTGTACACCCTCTTGTCTGTGTCTCCTGGCCAACTGTACACCCTCATGCCTGTGTGTCCTGGCCAACTGTACACCCTCTTGTCTGTCTCCTGGCCAACTGTACACCCTCTTGTCTGTCTCCTGGCCAACTGTACACCCTCTTGTCTGTCTCCTGGCCAACTGTACACCCTCTTTTGCCTGGGTCTCCTGGCCAACTGTACACCCTCTTTTGCCTGGGTCTCCTGGCCAACTGTACACCCTCTTGTCTGTCTCCTGGCCAACTGTACACCCTCTTGTCTGTCTCCTGGCCAACTGTACACCCTCTTTTGCCTGGGTCTCCTGGCCAACTGTACACCCTCTTTTGCCTGGGTCTCCTGGCCAACTGTACACCCTCTTGTCTGTCTCCTGGCCAACTGTACACCCTCTTGTCTGTGTCTCCTGGCCAACTGTACACCCTCTTGTCTGTGTCTCCTGGCCAACTGTACACCCTCTTGTCTGGGTCTCCTGGCCAACTGTACACCCTCTTGACTGTCTCCTGGCCAACTGTACACCCTCTTGTCTGTGTCTCCTGGCCAACTGTACACCCTCTTGACTGTCTCCTGGCCAACTGTACACCCTCTTGTCTGTGTCTTCTGGCCAACTGTACATCCTCTTGTCTGTCTCCTGGCCAACTGTACACCCTCTTGTCTGTCTCCTTGCCAACTCTTCACCCTCTTGTCTGTGTCTCCTGGCCAACTGTACACCTTCTTGTCTGTCTCCTGGCCAACTGTACACCCTCTTGTCTGTCTCCTGGCCAACTGTACACCCTCATGTCTGTGTCTCCTGGCCAACTGTACACCCTCTTGTCTTGTAGCATCTGAAGGAATTCCTATGGCAAACGCTTTTTTTTCACAATATTATCCACAGGTTGGACACTGTCCATCTCACACAGTCATGGATCACTGAAGTCAGTGATGACACCAGGTGTTCTCAAACAGGGTAAACAAGTCCTGCCCTAGTTGTAGCACCGCCCATTCAGACAATTTGCACAAAAAGTATTTATGCAGCACGGCATTACTCCTGCCCTTTAACAGTAGCCTGTACAAGTGAGGTGAAATGGGGTTTAACGTTGCATCCAAGATTATTGCACTTATATAGCGACGTGCATGTACGTGTGTGTGTTTGTGCTGCTGCTTGTACTAGTCCGGACTGATGCTGATTTATAGTGCTAGCTCACTGAGATACCATGCAGTAGTTTAACATGAATACCCCACTCAGACACAGTATACTGACTCTGAGCCAACCAGTCCTTGTTTTAGCCCCGTAATGCCGAGCGCCAGACAGGGTAACAACAAGTACCATCTTTTAACGTCTTTTGGTATGACGCGATCGGGGATCGAACCGCGGACCTTCTGCTCTCCGGGCGGACGCTCTACCACTAGACCATGGAGGCTGTCTTGGCCTGTAAAGAAGTGATGGAATGACAATGTTTGGTAGCCTTAAAATCTGCATGATCTTAAAAACTAAGACTGACCTTGACTGCTACTTGCAGCATCCCCTCAACTCTGGGAACATGAGACATCAGGCCCTTGTACACCTCACCAAATGCTCCTTGTCCCAGGGGCCTGGAGATACAAGTCACAGAGGTAACGTCTAGGCATCACAGAGCTAACATCTAGGCATGACAGAATTAACATCTAGGCATGACAGAATTAACATCTAGGCATGACAGAATTAACATCTAGGCATCACAGAATTAACATCTAGGCATGACAGAATTAACATCTAGGCATCACAGAATTAACATCTAGGCATGACAGAATTAACATCTAGGCATCACATAGCTAACATCTAGCCATCGCAGAGCTAACATCTAGGCATCACAGAGCTAACATCTAGGCATCACAGAATTAACATCTAGGCATCACAGAGCTAACATCTAGGCATCACATAGCTAACATCTAGGCATCACAGAGCTAACATCTAGGCATGACAGAGCTAACATCTAGGCATCACATAATTAACATCTAGGCATGACATAATTAACATCTAGGCATGACAGAATTAACATCTAGGCATGACAGAATTAACATCTAGGCATCACATAGCTAACATCTAGGCATCACAGAATTAACATCTAGGCATCACATAGCTAACATCTAGGCATCATAGAATTAGGATCTAGGCATCACAGCGTTAATATCAAGGCATCATAGAATTAACATCTAGGTATCACATAATTAATATATAGTAGGCATCACAGAATTAACCCTCAGGTAACACAGATTCTAATAACAAACTTACACATCTGTTCAATTACCTCCTTGATTACTGTGAAATAATACTTGGTAAGGTACATGATATTTCTGAGGTCAGACCAGTTTGATTATTTGTTTATCTTTGTCAACACACAAAGAAGCAGGAGGCCAAATGAAAATGTTGTCAGGATTTGAAGATATGTTTACTACATGACCTCTTGAAAAGTATAAGGTTTAAATAAAGGAAAAGAAAAGAAATGTTATTAAAAAAAAATTCAACAAAACTATGTAATGAAATAATTTATTATTTAACTCTTGCAAAATTTGCATGAAAACAAAAATTGGCCTGAACCAATATTCAGACATTGAGTGAGTTTAGTTTAACGTTGCTTTGAAGAGTATTTCAGTGATATCCCGATATGCGACTACACTTGTTATGGGATGAAATCCCACAGTGATACTAAGATATCAAAATAGGAGAGATAGAGAATCTCACCGGAGTATGTTTTGATATATTTGATATCAAAAGACACGACGGTGAGATTTTACGAGCAATAGGTGATTGTGAGCATCAATCTTCTGTGTTTAGTGAAAACAGAGTCTATATGGTCAAAGTTCTGATTTATCTTTCCTTGCTGGGCATCATTTCAATAAATGAGTGCCCTGGCATTAAACGTCGCTTTGAACAGTATTCCAGTTATATCACGGCTAAAATACAACAAAGGTTGGAGATATATCAATTACTGCAGAAAAGAATATTAAGCAAGAATATTTCCAATCGAGCCATGTAAAAAAATCAGGTGAATGTCCAAAAATGATTAATTTTGTCAGTTGTAATCATAAGAGACTGCCAAACAGCATGACCTTCTAAACTTAATTTAATCAAGATGCCTTAATGACAAATACATAGAACATACAAAACCAGCTGGAGGATTGTAGTGGGAGATAATTGCTACAGTACATAGATCCTGATATTTGAACTTCCTCTATGTTTAATAACAAACTACCGTAATTGAAACAATATTAAAACAAATTTTTAATAAATTTATGAAATAAGTTACAAACATAAGTCCAGATATACATAGAACACTATTTATAGCCAGACAGTGTAATTACATGATTAATTTGCGTACTTCAGTATGGATTTGTTGACATGGTATTTCTGGTAATGTCTTTCCGTTGCAGGAAAAACCCCATCAAAACTCATTATTGCGTGTATAATACACACACCCTTCTACACAGCTGTGTTTGTTTTTTTAAAAAGTGTACACTATACTCAAGGAAATACATGGTATGGTACAGTCTACATGGGGATTGCGGGTATTTATGAAGATAAAGTTAGAGAAATAGAATCTCATTGCATTCTAACAACGGTAATTCAACATATAGCATGTAAAGTGATAATGCAAAACTAGACATAAAGCTCTTTTTCTCTTAATGGTCCTGTAATCACAAAAATCTTTGAAAAGCTAAATTATAACAATTTTTTAATTTAAACTGGGGAGTTTCAACAGATGCTTGCAGATATGGGGCTGAATGATGGAGAGTGCTAAGAGTGTTTAAAATACCGACCTGTCTGACTGTCCCAGACAGGATGCTTCAGACTTGGAGAGTCAAATTTTAAAACATTCACATCTGATGGTCTGGGCTCACATGCATAAAGTGATATTAGCTCTACGACTAAGTCTATATTAAAGTATGGGAGTTAGGATCATCATAGCACTAAGATCACTATGTGCATATAGGCCCTGTTAGATTTTCTTTTGTATATTTAATAAATAAAAAATAGGATATGAACTTATGATAATTGTGATATAATGACCTAATGATAATGGATGATGACTGATGATACTTGTCAGTGTTATGGACTTTGGCTATTAAACTTATTGTGGATTGGCTCAGTTTGTACTCAATTATTCTCATCACAAGCTTTGACTTGAATTTTGAATAGGGTATGCCACATGTTGGTAATTGAACATTGCGATGCAACTCTTACATCAGACTGGAAATCTATTCAACTTGCCAGTCCAACTTTCTGACTAGAATTTTATCGAATATTTTAAACACTAGCTTAAATAAATTATTCATTAAATTGATTTAAGTGTGTATATGATATTCTGATAAATGAAATAACATTTGTCACTGTTTCTCTGAAATCTCCCTTCAAGCTTTTTACAGCTGAGATCAAATTTAACATTTCTACACTAAATAAAAGAGACAGATCCCTTTTAATAATCAGTACTTATTAAAAGCAATAAAATTCTTTACATATCCACAAGAAATCTTAGCTAAAAACAGAGTCCATTGCACAATTCTGACTATATCATAAAACATGTACCCTGTATTTATGAACACTTTCAAATTGTGATGATACCAGTTGAAAAAGTGAGTGTATATTGCCCTACCAGAGTACACATCACAAACACATGCAAAGGCAAGTCAATAGTTCACCTGAAAAAACACAGGAACATATGGTACAAGTCAATGTATGGATTTCATCTTTGCCACTGATGCACCAAATTTTGAAATGTCCTCCACATCAGTGTATTTATAATCAAGAAGAACACACTTCAACACAGGCTGCCTGAACGGAAATAATGCTGAGACATTGTAATTATCACAACAATTTCCGCAACTTCTAGTGCTTGTGCCTGGAGAGAGTTTTGTGATGAGAATCAAATGCATATCAAAATAGAAAATTACCCTAGGGGATAAAATTAATATCAATCTAATGAAGCCAAAACAAGCTGAAGTCTATTAACCCTTAATTCTATTCATAGTTATTCAACAGTCTTCAAGACAAGACAGACAGTTTATTTTGCTTATGGCCAGATTTCAGTTTTAGATGCTTCATGATGGTACTAGAATCTGTGCCAAAGTCAATCATGTGGGTGACAAACATCCATATGTACTAAAACATTGTGTTGATGAAATAAAAAAGAAATTTAAATCCTTCATAACCTACTTGCATCAACAAGGAAAGAATTCTTGATGAATTTATCATTCAGTTGGCCACCATTTCCTTGCTAAAAGAATCCCAGCTAAAGAATGGATACTTGATGCACGCTTATTGTCCTGTGTGAAGACATTCATTCAATAATGCTAACATATTATTGCCAGATTAAACTTCAGCTAGATAGTAGGCATGCTGATTTTCACTTGGATTACCTGACCAGATGATACCGAGAGCACATTTTGAACAACCTTAAATTACAGTATTTAAAGGGAAATTAGGCTCAGGCCAAGTAACTTCCCTCGATTCAAGTCATTCAAAACATGTTGTTTCATCTGCTGTCTAAAAGATTTGATTTTGCCCATCAATCTAACAGTTAAAGATTACCATGATGACGCAGAGACAATGTCGCAGTTTGACACATGTAGACATTTCAAACTGGACACAAGATCATCAAGGATGAGTCCCTTTTGTTTGTTTGTTTGTTGTTTAACGCCTCACTCAGCAATGCTCCTGCTATATGACAGTGGTCTGTAAATAATCAAGTCTGGGCCAGACAATCCAGTGACTGACATAATGAGCATCCATCCACGTAATTGGGATACGATGACATGCATCAACCAAATCAGTGAACCTGACCACCTGATCCTGGTAGTCGCCTCTTACAGCAAGCATGGGTTACCTACTCTAACCCGGATCTTCACAGGTGGGATGAGTTCCTCTTTAAGGAGTATTTAGATAACTTGTTTGATAGGCATTTAGAAGTTGGAGTACTAAGTAAGGATAAGAAATTTATGGATGAACAACTTCTTTATTACAATTAAGAGTGACGTTTCGGTGTAGGTTCTAACACCGTTATCAAGCAAGTGATTATACAGAGTGCAGTAAGCAAGTATATATACACGTAGGAGGCAATGTTTATACAGTAGGGTAGATATTGTTATACTGGGGTAGAGAAGCCTGTTGTGTACACACAAGGGCAGTGATGATAACCACCGAAACGTCGCTCTTAATTGTAATAAAGAAGTTGTTCATCCATAAATTTCGTATCCTTACTGAGTATTTAGATGCTGTTATTCGTATGAAGACATACATGAAGCGACTTATTCATTTGGTATGGGACGAGACATTGTGCTGAGACACTAAAACTGCCCCCTGTGTTGCAACATGACTATATTTCTTAAACTTTTATTCTCTGCTTATAAGCAGCAGAATCTGTCTGCACTTGCTAACAGCAAAAGTAATTCTAAATTAACAAATCATTTTTAGTTCCAACTAATTCCTAAATGTGTTATTGTATCACTGGATTTTCTGGTCCATCGTTTGATTGTCTGGTTTGTCTGCGGGCCACTGTCGCATGCAGGAGTGATGTTGTGTGGTGCAAGGCAACAAGGCCACAAGGCAACAAACAAACAAACAAACGAACAAACAAACAAACACTTCTGCAACCAGTAGGTCAGTCAGGAAATGCTTACCCTGTTCATGAACACCTGGAGTCATCACTGTTTTTCAGTGATCCATTCAAATAATTTTCACCCCTTTTTTACCTTTTACGTCCGTTGTAATCTTGTTTCGGCAGATAATCAAGAATGAATATTCTCTGACACTGATGTTTTATATGTACAGTTTACAGCTAATGTACTGGAATATGTCCTGATTTGTCTCACTGGAAACGGGAATTTCAAATCTGTAAGGCAAATCTATTTTCAGCTTAAATTACTTCCTACCAATGTCTGTCACCTACCTGACAAGCTGAATATGTCTTCTGTTAATCTCTGGCAGTTGTTGTGGGTGTTTTGCGCCAATGAAATCGTAGTTGGGGTTAAACTCCATCACTGCTGTCGGGCGTTGTATAGTCTGACGGACACGTTGAGTGCGGAGTTTCTTCAGTTTGCAGTAAGACATGATCCTCTCAAATCTAATTCCCCCACCATGACACTCCTTGGAGAATGTTCCACGTCCACCTGTGTGAGACAAACTTACTGTAAAACATAGCATGGAGTCGGTGTGTGAGTGAGTGAGTGAGTTGGTGGGTGTTTGAGTGCGTGGGTGTTTGAGTGAGTGAGTTGGTGTTTGAGCAAGTGAGTGAGTGTGTGCGTGTTTGAGTGAGTGAGTGCGTGAGTTGGTGTTTGAGCAAGTGAGTGTGGGTTTGAGTGAGTGAGTGTTTAAGTGAGTGAGTTGGTGGGTTATGAGCGAGTAAGTGAGAAGTGTTTGAGTGAGTGAGTTGGTGGGTGTTTGAGCTAGTGAGTGTGGGTTTGAGTGAGTGAGTTGGTGGGTGTTTTGAGCAAGTGAGTCTGTTTGAGTGAGTGAGTGTTTGAGTGAGTGAGTGAGTGTACTTGTGCTAATATTGGGAGTGACAAATATTAATTAGACAGCCCCAATAACAGCCATGGCAAAGAGGGATCTATTCTGCTCTGGGGACCCCATGGCGTCTGGGATAAAAGGACTGTTTCATGGTGATGTAACCACATTTTTCAGAATTGGCAGTATCTGTTCCAAGATAGCATGGTATAGTTATATATAGTTGTGATGATGTTGTGACATTACTTATGATTCTGCACTTCAGCCTTCATGCCATTTTGATTTCTGAGATGAAGATTTTTAGACATTTATAAAATGATTTTTTTCAAGTTTAGAAATTCCTGATATATTTGACTCAGAAAACATCTAGATATGACTTTGATCACCTTTTGATAAATGTCTAAGATACCACCAACACATGTATGTGGTCGTGTTTCCGGCCTGAAGTCCATACGTGACGTAAAGAATCAGAAGAAGCAGGGAGCAAAATCTCCAAAGACTTTATGGGCTGTGTGGAACTGATTTGCATCCTGTGATTTCTAATAGATTTCTTTTATGTTGCTATAACAATGCAGATGCTGTACTGAGACTCACAGACACAGAAGCATGTTGTTCCAATCATGACGAGGAAGATGGAGCAGGCTGCAGCTATAGCAATGATGAAACCAATGTTCATGCCTTTGGCACCAGCCTGGGTCGGTGGCGTCACGATGTCCACGCTTGTATTGCCTATTGAAACAGTTCATTACATAAAAGGCTGTATAATAAATAATCAGAAAACAGCCTTGGATTAAGGATTTGTTGATTTCAATGAATAGTGAGTGAGTGAGTGAGTGAGTGAGTATGGTTTTACGCCGCTTTAACCACAAGGCTACCCAACCACCCCCATTTCAATGAATAATAATAATAATAATAATAATAATAATAATAATACACTTGTCAATAATAATAATAATAATAATAATAATAATACACTTGTAAAGCCCATAACTCCCCACACAATGTAGGCTTGAAGCACCACATTATTATTACCCCAGTCAATGGATCATCATCAGTGTGACTCAATTTTCGTTCTCATCTCCCTGGGGAGTATACAACCCAAACAGCCTGTGAAGGCATGAAAAAGAAAGGGTTTCCTGAGAAAAAGATTCAATCTCAGTTTCGGTTATATAGGGGACAGCCTTTCTTTAACAATGCCAAGGTAAATGCGTATCTTCACCTCATCTATCCACCAGAGTTGGAAATGAAAGAAAGAACCACATTGTCCTATCTGGACATGTGCATAGAATTTCAAAATGATGGAGACCTCAGTATCAAGCTGTATGACAAGAGGGATAAACTGTCCAATTCGGAACTTCCCTTACATTTCAAGCCATATACCATTAGATGCTAATGGTTTCTACATTTCTCTCTAGGGGCGGTGGGGTAGCCTTTTGGTTAAAGCGTTTGCTCGTCATGCTTAAGGCCCGGGTTTGATTCCCTACATGGGTACAATGTGTGAAACCCATTTCTGGTGTCCCTAGCCGTGATATTGCTGAATATTGCTAAAAGCGGCATACAATCCAACTCACTCACCCATTCTACATTTCTCAGTATTTAGGTACTTGAAGAGCATGTACATGTCATTCAATTTCATGGAAACACACTTAAATGTTTGAAACTACTTAAAGCATTTTTATAGGTTTCACTATCAAAGGCCTGATTAAGTCATTCCATAAATTGTATGATAGCCATTCAGATGAATTTACTGAGTAAGACGGATACCGTATCCGACGTAATAAGTGCCCAGGGCGCTCTCAAAATTAGAAAACGGGGGCTCTTATTAGAATATAATTTTGGTGAGAAAAAAAAGAGAGTTGAAAGATCGTAAATTTCGTGGATTATGCTGTCAGTCTGAATGATACAAGTCTTGTGTACATTGATCAATCGGAAGGGGTGCTGACTGGGATTGTTCACTAGCCATTATATTACCAAATATCACCATGGGAGCTTATTAGAGCGAGGCGCTTATTACGTCGAATACAGTAACTTGACAACAAGTGATAATATGACCTTTACACAGAAGATTCCAACACCTGATGTGATAACTGGTTTTCAGTTATCCTTGCATGAGGCTAAATAGACCATTGAATCCCACATACTCAAAGGTTATTGACAGACTCATTCACTTAATTTTTTCATCACTATTTTGCTTTTTAGGCCCTATGGAATCTGTTTTGGCAGATACCCAAGACTGATAATACTCTGGCTTTGACATTTTGAATTTTCAGCAAAGTTAATCTAATTATAATAATACATTATTTTTGTCTTGTTGCTAATATAGGAGAAAAAGTACAGCAGAACATGTCCAACACATTCAACCTACCATTGGTGGTACATGTAACTCCGTCCTCAGCTAGGACTTGTTTGGGAGGACACAGACACTTGTACTTAGTAGCATCTTGGTCCTCCCAGATACAGTAGTAACTACAGGGGCAGTTCCTCATCTGCAGGACATCCACAAACCCATTGCCTTCTCTACCTGAAAGGAAATGTTCCAAGGAAATTAACCAGTACATAAGGTCGAAACAAAGAGCGGCAAATTCAAGAACTTTTTAAAGTTGGTTTCCAGATTTGGTCGACCCGAAAATAATGGAAGTGGAAAAATATATACCACTACATTTTTGATAGGGATGATTTTATCTGTGTTCTTACTAAATAATCTTCCCACTGCTTTTTTTTATACATTAGTTCAAGTTGTTACTGTAAACGTGTTTGCAAATACAAAAAAACAATGATAACAAATTTGGCCAAGAAAGATAATGGTCTCTTTCAGAAATAGTCATTAACTGTACTTGTTTGAGACTTAGTCCAAATTGTTTCCATGGAAACACAACAAATTAAAAACTTTAAATATATGAAAAGGCACTAATTGAGCATATGGTCATTGCACATGTACAGTTTCATACCAAATTATCCATTGTTTGAGAGTAATCTCATGGAAAACAAAGCCTAGAGTTGTTCGAGACGAAGTCAAAATTATTTCCATAGAAAAATTAAGAACAATTTCATGACAGCCATAGGCACCAGTGAAGCTGATTAACAATGCATATCCCAAGTTTCTTTGAAATATCTTGAATGGTATACAAAATATGGCCTCGAAATGAACCCTACCCTCGTTTGAAACTTACTCCCAATTGTTTCCATAAACATAAAAAAAAAAATTCTAACAAATTGTTAAATAGCAAAAGGCACCAGTGAAGCTGATGACCATTGCATATGTGCATTTTTTCGAATAAAAATGTTGAACAGACAAGCACTAGGTAGCACCATGGAACTCACACAGAAGCAAAGACTTAAATCTGGCATGCTATCTCAGAATAGGTGAGGAGAGGTGAAATTGGGTTTAACGTCGCTTCCAAGATTATTGCACTTATATAGCGACGTGCATGTATGTGTGTGTGTTTGTGTGGCTGCTTGTACTCGTCCGGACTGATGCTGATTTATAGTGCTAGCTCACTGCTTTAGCCCCTTAATGCCGAGCACCAGACAGGGTAACAACAAGTACCATCTTTTAACGTCTTTTGGTATGACGTGGTCGGGGATCGAACCCCGGACCTTCCGCTCTACCAATAGATCACAGAGGCAGTCTTTCTCAGAAGACAGCAAAACCGCCATCAGTCCAGACAAGTTCAAGCAGCCACACCCACACATGCATGACACCATTTCATCACACCGACAACCTTACTTATCACTTTTCATCACCATTTTTGTCAGTCCTTCCCCAGATCAATATGGATCAACTACACTAACATTAGACACCTCAGGGGGATGTTTGTAAATATAATTGCTCTTGCATTGTCAGGCATTTGGGCTAGATCCATAATAAAGCTAATAATTGAATGAACAAACATAATGTTTTTTGTTGATTGTAACAGTGATTCCTTCATAAAGCTCACAGCTCATGAAAGCCACTTCACAAGGTGAGTTCCTGAGTTTGGTACAACGAAGCCTGAAACAGTCTTTCAATTTCATCATGTCGTAAGAGCTTTATGTAGGAGGAAAGCAAGAAGCGACTAAGTCTTTGATGTTTATCACTTTTGTGAAAACCATAACCACGGGTATTGTGCTGATGAATGTTTGAAGCCATAATTGTAGGTTGTGTGCTTGCCTCAGGGATGCAGCTCTGCACAGTGAAATTGCAGCATTAAAGACCACTGGGTCTCAAGGAAAAATAAGCTGATAAACAGTTAAAGGGCCAGTATGTTGACGGTCTAGCATGACGTGTGTGACGTCACAGGTTTAGTTCACGCATGATTCAATTGTCAACCAAAACAATAGAGGTCCTGAGGCATGCTGATCATCACTTGGATTACCTGACCAGATGATACCGAGAGCACATTTTGAACAACCTTAAATACAGTATTTATAGGGAAATAAGGCTTGGGCCAAGTAACTTCCCTTATTTCAAGTCATTCAAAACATGTTGTTTCATCCGCTGTCGAAAAGATTTGATTTTGCCCATCAATCTAACAGTTAAGGATTACCGTGATGATGCAGAGACAATGTCGCAGTTTGACACATGTAGACATTTCGAACTGGACACAAGATCATCAAGGATGAGTCCCTTTTGTTTGTTGTTTAACGCCGCACTCAGCAATGTTCCGGCTATATGACAGTGGTCTGTAAATAATCAGGTCTGGGCCAGACAATCCAGTGACTGACATAATGAGCATTGATCCACGTATTTGGGATACGATGACATGCATCAACCAAGTCAGTGAGCCTGACCACCCGATCCCGTTAGTTGCCTCTTACGACAAGCATACAGGTATGAGTTACAAAATACTAATTGGATTCGAAATTTGTGATTATCAAACCCAAGATTACAATAGAAATGCTACAGTTGTATGAACCCAGTCACGATGTAGAACACTCTCCTACCCAGAGTTCCTTGCATACCTCTGCCACACGGCCAAACCTTACACAGTCCATTCAGACCATAGCAAGTCTACACATTTAGATGAACACGTCATGAAATGTTAAACTTTCATTGAGAAATTAATCAAGACTTGAAAAACTATTTCCATTTGCATATTTATTCTTTGTTTTGTTTATGGCTCTAGGGCTTACATCAAACTTTTATGGCTCTAGGGCTATCATCAAAGTTTTATGGCTCTAGGGCTATCATCAAAGTTTTAAGGCTCTAGGGCTATCATCAAAGTTTTATGGCTCTAGGGCTATCATCAAAGTTTTATGGCTCTAGGGCTATCATCAAAGTTTTATGGCTCTAGGGCTGTCATCAAAGTTTTATGGCTCTAGGGCTATCACTGAACATTTATGGCTCTAGGGCTATCATCGAAGTTTTATGGCTCTAGGGCTATCTTCAAAGTTTTATGGCTCTAGGGCTATCATCTAAGTTTTATGGCTCTAGGGCTATCATCAAAGTTTTATGGCTCTAGGGCTGTCATCAAAGTTTTATGGCTCTAGGGCTATCACTGAACATTTATGGCTCTAGGGCTATCATCGAAGTTTTATGGCTCTAGGGCTATCATCGAAGTTTTATGGCTCTAGGGCTATCATCGAAGTTTTATGGCTCTAGGGCTATCATCGAAAGTTTTATGGCTCTAGGGCTATCATTGAAGTTTTATGGCTCTAGGGCTGTCATTGAAGTTTTATGGCTCTAGGGCTATCATCGAAAGTTTTATGGCTCTAGGGCTATCATTGAAGTTTTATGGCTCTAGGGCTGTCATCGAAGTTTTATGGCTCTAGGGCTGTCATCAAAATTTTATGGCTCTAGGGCTATCATCAAAGTTTTATGGCCCCAGTGCTGTCATCAAAGTCCTACAGAGGGCTAGCAATATGGTCACTTTGATGTGTAAAGCTATATCGTCATGCACCTCACTGCCACAGCAGTACTAGCATATCTATTTAATTAGGCAAAACAATATGAAAAGTGCATTGAAAGGCTTACATTAAGCCTGTCTCTTCTGATTTCAAAATAAGTTCATGTTTACAAACAAGGGAAAGGTATGTTCATGTGATAAGCCTACATCTGCGGTGTGGTCACTGGATCAGAAACCTCTCTCGCGGAATAAGCTTGGGGTTATGGGCTATTGTTTGCAAACAATGATTCACAACAGTCAACATACAGGACCTTTAACACAAACTGTTATCAGAATATCTTTCAAACCAAAGAAAACTTTTATTCTAAAATGATATCAACATACATTTGAAAAAAACTCCCAAATTTGGTAAGTTAATTATCTGTCCTCAGGGCTTATGATTAGAAATATGTTTGTTTGTTGTTTAATGCCACTCTCAGCAATATTCCAGCTATGTGACGGTGGTCTGTAAATAATCAAGTCTGAACCAGACAATCCAGTGAATATCATGAGCATCGATCCCGCTATTGGGATACGATCACATGCACCAACCAAGTCAGCGAACCTGACCACCCGATCCCATTATTCGCCTCTTACGACAAGCATAGTCGCCTTTTATGGCAAGCATGGTTTGCTGAAGATCTATTCTAACCCTGATCTTCATGGGTTGACAAGAAATATGTTTCCAGTAATAACTTCATGCTTTGAAATCCATGCTGCATTTAGCCCCTGAGATTTGATCATTGTAGCAAGAACATTCCTAATGAAAAGTCAATACAGTGACGACATGGTTGTATTTTAAACCTCAATGTTAGTGTTTAACTTTGATGCTTTTGTCAAATGACAAAAATGCATTCTGTTTCAGAAGCATGCGGAGAATAGATCCATGATCATAACAAACATGCTATCATTGTAACTGTGTTTTCTTATCAGAACTGATACGCAGAGGGACAGGGGAAATGACACATCATGTATAAACGAAAACTTCTAAAAACACAAGTTTTCACTTTTTTCTTCAATATCAAATGCTTCCAATTACACTCAGGACAGAGCACAGAAGAATGAAGTCACCTAATGCTTCATAAATATTTGCTTCTTAGCAATTAAGAATTGACTTTCGTTTCGTGTGAGTTCACTGGAGTATGAACCTTCATAGAGCAAGGGCCAAATTGTATGAACATCAGAGCTTGAAGATAAAAATATCCCTATGAAAAGTGAAGTATAAGTCTGAGTGGAGTATCCATGTTAAACTGCACCATAGTGTCTCAGTGGACGAGCACTATAAAACTAGCACACGCACATTGCTATGAGCGTGCAATAAGTGCAGTAAATCTTTAACTCCACTTCACCTCACTCCACCTCAATCTGATGCAGGCACTGATTCACTGTTGACAACCAACCATGCATTGTTTTAACTATGCCAGCGTATATATAATCAATACTTGACTCGCAGCCATATTGTACTCTCTACAGCTGGAGATCAAAAGGTTTTGTTTTTTACCGGACAAAAATAAAAATGAAGAAATGACACTGACATTATTCCTTCAGTCACAACCTTCTTCACATTTCTTTTGTCTCTTATCTCCCAAATGGGTTGACAAGACTTGAAAGTAACCGTACAGTGAAATTAATAGATGGGTTGGACGGATCTGGACCCACTTGCACAAAGCGATCTTAGCGCTAAGATGATCATAACTCCCATACTTTAACATAGGCTTACAACAGTCTTAGCGCTAAGATCGTTTTGTGCAAGTGGGCCCTGGTTATTAACTCAGCAGAAATTATAATTGTTTTTTCGAAATTTTCAAGAATTGGTCTCATGGACCTGTGATCCAAGAAATAATGACTGGCTTTCCACAAAGGTATTACCTCTTACCCTGATGGGGTGGACATTGTTCATCAACCATGGGTGTGACTTGCCCAGACTCGATTATGTACAGACTGCCATGATATAGGACTATTGCTGACTGGGACCTAAACTCAATCCACTCACTGATGCCTACCTAGTTCATGGCGGACATCTTGGGCGGAGGGATGTATATATGAGGTGCCAGCCTTGCCATTGCAGTCCTCCTTGTCTTCAACACAGGCATCACCACCTGGCAAAACAAAATTATACATGCATCAAAACTAAAATGTCATTGAACAATAGTGTAATTGGGAGAAGTTCAATTTGGGACATAAAACTTGAGACTGTCAGTTATAGTGACTGACTGATGTACCAAATTTGACGTATTGAGCGCTCCAATAAATGTCCCTTCACCATCTTCTTGACCAGTCTGGAAGTAAGTAATCTTTTTAAACTCAGCTTACTCAGACCCAAATTTACATGACAGTCGATATTTTCTTGAGTATATAACAGATTGTTTTGGCTTGTAACGCCAAAAATAGCAGCTACAAGATCATTCGTGACCAACTCGTGTTATTCCTGGACAAGCCGAATAGCGACTCGGGCCCCTCTCATGGCCATTATTGCGACCGAGTTCTGTCTTAGCAAAAGCGAGCATGCCTAAAACAATTGTCAACTCGTTGCAAATTGGATCACATATATTTCCCCACATATTATATATATTTCAGATGCAATTTAATGCACATCGGGACATGTGGGATCATACAGTATGATTGAACATATTTAACTGTGTCTTGGGTATATTTTTAGATGCAAGACAGATGTAAAATCAAAAAATATTCCTGAGGGTTTCTTTGGTGAAGAACTTGAAAGTCATAGACGCATTCTGATTGGTTTGTCGTATGTTAGCATATAACATTCATTGATGGGGGGACGAGTCTTCTTGCAGGTTACGGAAAGGGGCGAGTGGTGATGAATGCCACACAATATATGGTCACACCCAGTGTCAGCATACTATATAGAAAGAAGGGGTGTAACGAGGCCAACTCACTAATTCGAGGACGAATTCAACAATGTCCACTGTAAATACCCTGGAAAAACTATACACTCATTTCAAGCTAATACATATAGCTGCACAATAGGACATAGATGAAGTTGAGGCCATTTTAAAAAATTTAAGAACCCCAAAACAAACTGATTGCAATGCCATGAATGTACCATTATGTAAAGGTTTCAAAAACAGTCAAATCTGACCAAAAAATAATATAATTAGATACACAATATTTCTAAACATTTAAAGAATCCGTCCCATAAAAGACACTGATAATGACAAATATTATTCAGCAATGAATATTTTATATCTGAAAACCCGAAAGTTTCGTCCGTTTTGTGAGTTTCAGAGCATGAAATAGACTGACCATATTTGCCCTGTTAGGTTGCCTTATTCTCCTAAAAAATCAATACAAGCATCAGTCTGTTTCTTAGTAGTCCATGTGGTACACCACGGCTGGAGGGGATGCTGAATCGTCTTGATTCCTCATTAAGGTCAGTGATCTACAGAAGTGTCAAGTGAATGAGTGAAAAGAAACTTATAGTCTGGTGCGAAAACCAAATCAATTTGTCACTCCTGACAGGTCCCTGAGAGGAAGTTTCTCCAACAGAGACACAAATATCACAGGATTGTTGATTTGGTTGCTGAAATCAGGATTCCTCTGTAAACAAGCCTCTACCCTCGTGTGGATGCTGGGTGAGAAGTGGTCCCCAGAAACCTATGCAGGTTGTAAGAGGCGACCAAATGGATTTGGTGACTTGGTTAATTGCGTGTCATCGTATCCCAACAGAGTGGATCGTTACACACTGGATTGATCAATGGATATGTACAAGCTGCCTTCATATAGCTGGAATATTTCTGAGCGCAGCATTAGACAACATACAAACAAAAAAGCCACTTGGAAGTTTGCAATGTTCCTTGTTAACAAAACGAAGCATCTGATGTGCTGAAGATGTCTCTAGACTACTTAGGGCATGTCTTTTAGCACAGTCGTACATGCTCCCACTTGAGAAGTAGGGTTCCTACAAACCCGAGTTTTGAATTATTGGGGATGATTCATGTCGGGGTAAAAAGGGGACATGATGATTGAAAATCTAGTCTTCTTTTATCTGCGTTTGCTACATAAATGCATGCATGCATTATAGTATGCAGTAATAATAACAAGTTTTTAATGTGGCTTTAAACCAGTGACTTTATGAAGACTGTCAATACTTTTACCAGTCCTAATTTCAAAACATTCTTTAAAAATAAATGAAATATACACCTTCCTCTTATTACAACTTACAGCTTTCTGAGTCTTTGCAAGACGTACAAATTATGTTCTGCTATCCACACATCTCAAACCTAAACCTAGTTTTCATCCATCAGTTTACTGACTAAGATTGGATTTTAGCAAGATTGGTCAACTCATACTTGTATTAAGGGGTGACAAATGGGATCGGGTGGTCAGACTCACTGATATGGTTCACACATTTTTTCATATCCCAATTGCCCTCATATACCTGGTATATGCTTGTAATGGCAATCACTAGATTGGTCCAGACTCCTTTATTTACACACTGCTGTGAAATTTATCACTGGAATATTGCCGGGTGTGGCATTAAACAACAAACAAACAAACTAAGAATGACTTTTTGCGCAGTATGATACGATTAAACTTGATTATTTTCTCTAAGAAAATCCATGTGACCAAGATGAAATAGTGACAAGTGTTACCTACCGGTATATCCTCCGCCTCCACCCCCTGATGAACACGCTCCTCCTCCTCCACCGAATCCCCCTGCGGCGGCAAAGCCAGCGTCCACAGACTTCTGACACGGCCTTCCTCCAGCCATGCTCTGTGCAAGTGTCATCCCTGGCCGTGGTTGCCATCCACTTCCCCCTCCTGGTGCATAGAAGAAAGACAATATATACCTGTGCATGTGTGTGTGCGTGCGTTGGGAGCGCCTCCATTTCCTCCCCTTGTGGTGTATAGAAAGGAAGACAATATATACCTATGCATGTGTGCGTGCGTGCGTGCAGATCAATTTCCCCCCCTCGTGCTTTTAGCAATATTCCAGCAATATCACGGCGGGGGACACCAGAAATGGGCTTCACACATTGTACCCATGTTGGGAATCGAACCCGGGTCTTCGGCGTGATAAGCGAACGCTTTAACAACTAGGCTACCCGACCGCCCCATAGGAAGGAAGACATTATGTACCTGTGAATGTGTGCGTGTGCATCCATTTCCTCCCCTCGTGGTGTATAGGAAGGAAGACATTATGTACCTGTGCATGCATGCGCATCCATTTCCTCCCCTCATGGTGTATAGGAAGGAAGACATTATGTACCTGTGCATACGTGCGTGAGTGCGTGCGCGCGCATCCATTTCCTCCCCTCCTGGTGTATAGGAGGGAGACATTATATATCTGTGCGTGCGCATCCATTTCCCCCCTCGTGGTGTATATGAAGGTAGATATGTACCTCTGTGTGTGTGTGTGTGTGTGAGTGAGTGAGTGAGTGAGTGAGTGAGTGAGTGAGTGAGTGAGTGAGTGAGTGAGTGAGTGAGTGAGTGAGTGAGTGAGTGAGTGAGTGAGTGAACTTGTCCCAATACAGGTCACACATTGTCGCCACCTGATACTAATTAGTCAGCCCTAACAACAACCATGGTACAGCGGGATGTAGTTTGCTCTTGTGTCCTTATGGAGTCTGGGATAATGCAACTAATGGCAAAAGGTGACTGTTTCATGGACTGTGGTTAAACCAAATATAACAGAACTATATCAAGACAACCACAGCTATATTATAGCTAAGCAGTCAGAAATAGTACAGCTGTATCACGGAAATGTCTCAGACTTAGCCAAGGATCAAATGTATACTGTGATCCTGACTGCAAGCAATATTACTTGCACAAGCTTAGGCAAAATTGTCATAAACGTTTGAACTTTGAAGATATGTAAGATGTCATAAATATCAAGAACAGGTAAAGCACTACTTTTCTTTTGATGAAACACTCATATTCTGAGTTGAAATAAATAAAATGGTTTGTAGCGTTTCCAAGGCAACTACCCTTTCAATTGCTTCATGAACTGTTCTGGCCAAGTACAAAGTACATGCAATCAAGATACGGGGTAGAGAATAGGTCTTCAGCAACCCATGCTTGCCATAAAAGGCAACTACACTTGTCGTAAAAGGCAACGAACAGGATGGTGGTCAGACTCTCTGACTTGGTTGATGCATGTCATCATATCCCAATTATGTGGATCGATGCGCATGATGTCAATCACTGGATTGTCTGGTCCAGACTCGATTATTTATAGACCGCCATCATATGGCTGGAGTATTGCTGAGTGCAAACAATACAAAAACGTGCAATCATCTGAAGGAACATATCATGTCCTGTTATCAACCTTTCAGCAGGCATCAGTGGTATCTGAGACATAATAAGACCACTATATCCTTTCCAAACTATTCTTGTAAGATCAGAACATTTGAAAATGTAGAATAAGTGGGGCTTAGTCTTTTTCCAGGGTATACTCAATCATGAGCATAGGTTTGTCCGTATTGTAGTATGACATTACCAGATCCATCTTGTGGAGACAGCCCAGCGTGTCCATCCCCAGGTTGAGACGTCTGCTTCACCTCAGCATCATGGCTGATCAAGGACCTTGCTCCAAGGCCACCTCCGCCTCCAGCAACCATCAGAAGCTGCACCTTTCCAGAACTTTGGTGTTTCTGTCACAGAAGATGATCATGGAATACACCAGTGGGTTCCATCTATATCACATCAGCCTCTAATTATTCAAATCTAGGCAAAGCAAAGCAGGATAAAACGTACATGTGGCCGTGGGGGGGAAGGCCTTCTATGCAGTATAAGACATAGCTACCGATAATCAGTGAGTTAATCACTGACTTGCACCACTGTGCCAACCAATAAGGTAACTGTTAACTGGTTTACTAATGGTCTTTAGAAAGTATTAACTAGGTCTGAATTTATTTATACACATGTACATGTAATCCTAGCTATTCTTTTACAAATAAGTGAGTGAGTGAGTGAGTTGAGTTTAACACCACTTTGAACAGTATTCCAGTTATATCACGGTGTGTCAGCTTAATGTGGGAGGAAAGACTGAAGTGATGTAGGTCTCAGATGTTAACCACATTGACGAATTCCACGAGCACAAGCATGGTGCTGACAAACCTAGAAACATAAGGGATTCAAACTTTTACATATAAAGTGTTGAGGCATTATTGAAAACTAACTGAATCTATGGCTGCCAAAACAAAATTTTACAGTTATTGGATGATGATTTGCAGAGCAGCAGGACAAACTATGCTTTATTTAATGAACTGTTTAATATTGTAGTCTGAGGTGATGTAGGTCTCAGATGTTTACCACATTGATGAAATCAACGAGCACAGGTATGATCCATTGACTGCAGCCGCCTATTGCTGAGTTATTGCATGGTAATTCCAAAATAGTTCATTTTCCCTAAATGACCCACAATATGGTTAATTTCAGGAACAATTGTTTCATTGTCCTGTACGATTCCCATTTCATCCTAGTTGTTCAATTATATGCACATTATTATTCAATAGTGGTCAAATAACCAATACCCTTCTACTAATGTACCTATCTGTGCTAGGAGTAAAAGAGACCAGTGCCTTATGTGTTTCATATTTAGATCTACGCACAAAGAATCAGAGTGACAAATATCTATATGCAAGACTATATGACATGAGGGATGACTTAAACCTCTCCAATAGTCTACTTTCCTTTTATGTCTTGCAATATTCCAGCAGCTCCAGATTTTGGTGTTTACATTTCACAACGTTTGAGGTACAATTAAGCGAGCTCTTTCTACAAAGATTTTTAGAGTGTCATATGACTCCTGCTCAAAATTTCTTTAATCAAGGTAGCAACATTCAAAATCTCGGTAAAGTTTTCAAATAGTTTTATGGTAAACATGTTTAGGACATTTTCAAGTTTGACACAAAAACAAGATGTCTCATGCAATTCCCTATTTTGACTTGCACCATATGTTCCAATGGTTTTTTTCAGGTGAAAACTTGACATGCCTTTGCATGTGTCTATGATGGATGCCTCCAGTGGGGCAGGATACACTCACCTTTTCGTGAAAACCTAGTATCACTATTTGATAGTGATACTGTTGTAACCTCATATTTAAATCATCATTTTAAATTACTGGTTCCCTGCAATCTCACGCAACAGGACCTTAGCAATGCATGTTGGGTAATGTTGTCAGACGATTGTTATGGTGGACGTTCGGATCAACGCTCTGAAGAAAACAACTATGTGGAACTACAAGATAAGTCTGTGTTATTTCTTATGAAACATAGGATTCGGATCCCAGGTTACCACAGATCCATAAACACATCCTTATGATATATGTGAAATCATACAATGGACTCAGCTTTTAGTAGAGATTTCTTATGATTACTGAAAGGGTTTGGTTGTTTTTGACCTACATCACTGAATGACTCAGGTGATGTCCTGGCTTTGGAGAACTGTATCCCTCCTGGGTCAATCATTGACAAATCAATCACGCTGGCCTAATACGCCATCCCTACGACATTTTACAAGCCACCAACATAAGCTTTTTTCTAAGGCTCAGCAAATGAGAAATAGATCTTAAATCTCTTTTGATTAACTTTGGAGAGTCTTGAGTGTATGTATTTGATACCAAACAAGTATAAGGATTACTGGACCCATTAGCTGATAGTTCTATTTTCAAAATAAGGCATCGACCTCTTTGAAAGATGTAATTCAGTTTCCTCTCAGTAATGACATTACTCATGTTCTGAACATCAGGAAAGACAGTCTACTTTTATATACCATACTCTTAGAATTGTAAAGGGCAGAGGTAAGAAAAAAGAATTTGTTCTCAGGCAAATAGCTTTTGAAAATATAGTGCAGGTAGACAGCCGTTTATTTTTGTTGTTGTTGTTGTTCAAACTAGTATGTAACAAAATAAACAGTTGTGTAGAATTAACCAGGGAAAAAGGCCTCCCTAAATAAATGTATTCCTTGATGAATATTTGACAACTGTTGGACCGTGTGCATAATACATGCATACAATGAGCTTTGGTTTTAGTTCATAATGTGAAAACATCATTATGGGAACACTACACCAGAAGAAGCATGTCAACAAATCCGTACTGAAGTTTGGAAGTTTCACTTATAATTACACTGTCTGGCTATGAAAGTGTTCATCGTGTATCTGGACTTAAAGTTTGTTATCCATTATATTACTTTTCTCCAAGATTTCATTCATTCATTTAATTCATTCCGGCGGAATTGTGTATGATCAACATCAACTCACCATGAAAGAAGTAATAGTCGTTAGAGTCTTCCTATCAATTCTTTTGAAATCTCTTTATAGTTATCCCATTAAGTATTTTTTAAACTAAATCATCCATAGATCGAGGAGAAAATGTGTAAACAGCTGATTGCTATTTCTGGTTTATTTATGAGACAAATATGCATGTAAACTTAATATCTGTGTATGAAACATTGTTCGGCAAATTGTACACAAAAAACATTGCATTTGTAAATCATCATGTCTAGTGATGTTTCATCATAAATTTCATATCTTCATTTACCACATTTGCCAAAGGCAAAACAACCTCACAAACACCTATTGCGGCCATGATCATAACACATAACACGAGATGCAACTGCATGCTACATTGGATCGCATTGTTTTTAAGTATTGTAACATTTCACTGCCGGGGTCATGTTTGTTTCGGGATGTGGAATATTCAAGGATTTTTTTATTTTTTTATTTTTTCTGGCAGCGGACTTTGTGATGATGCGTCAGTGCCTGAGAACCCAGACTATTTTTTTAGCCTTAAGGGCAGAGTAATAAAAGACAATGAAGGACAAGAGCCTTTTGGCAACAGGGTCTGCTTAATTTGCAGGGCAACAACACTCCAACTCTGAAAGTAGTGAAATATAATCAGAATCAGGAGTTTTTAGTGCTATCAAACCAAGTTCCCAGAGACTCAGCGGTGATAGATGAAGACTTTGTTTATCAGGAAATTATCAGCTTGTAAAACATCTTTGTGACTACATGTCATACACAATTTGAAAGATATAACCTTACTGTTTATAAATATGAAAGTTATGTTTATCACATTACTTAAATAATGCTTAATAAATAATTACTTAAATAAACTTCAGGCCGTAAGGGCCTACAGGCCGATGTCTATTTCGAACACTGTTTACAGACCGCCCTCATACAGCTGGAATATTGCGAGTGCAGTGTTAACCATCAAACAAAAAAGACAAAACAAACATTTACTAACAGTTACATTCGGTAAAACTTGAGACAAACAAACTCGAAAACAGATAGATTCCAAATGAAAAGTGCATCTTGCCTAGCTTATCGTAAACAGTTGCTGATTGGTGCTTCTAAAGTGTCAAATGACCACAATGCAAGGTTTTGAAAAAATATCTTTGCAAGCAGACCAAGATTGGTCAAACAAAATTTACAGAATGATTTACAGAAATTGTTATGAATTGTTCTGAAGTTAAAATACCCACATGTCAAAAAACAGGTGGGTAAAAAAGATTTTATTACCCACTAAAAATTGTGGATACCCAATCAAAATCAAACCCATGCTTATCTTAGCTCTGTGAATATGATGACATATGATGACAAATTCATGTTTGGTCACAGACTTTGAAGTTTGTATAATTGGCCTTAGACATTTAAAAAATGTGTTTTTACAGCTTATGTTTGTTGTTGCTGTGATTTTATTTTATGTGAGTTTAATGCCAAATCTGTGTACGATATGTTTTTTCACAACCGGAACAAAAGGCAGAATGGTTTCGATCACATGCAGCCGGATACAATGAACGTAATTGTTTTACAAATACACACACGTGTACTTCGACTTGGAATTAAATCTCATCAGTTTATTTGTAACTGTATTTGCTTTAATGCGCTTTAACGCGCCTTTTAGGGGGAAATTCTTCATGCATTTTTGGGAGCCATGGTTTACCCCGCGGTGCACCTGGAGTAGCGGTACATCGAGGAGCGTTAAGTTGAGGGACCACTGTATAAAGAATGGGTAAGAGCCATTAGTACAATTTTCATACCAATACTAAAGTATGTATAAAGTTTTCAGCAACTTAATTACTTGACATTTCCACTACCCTGCCTTGTCCTTCCTGGCATTTACAAATCTTCAGGTGTTTATTATAGAGTTTCCTGTGTCTGTAAGTTAAAATGTGATTTTTGACTGAGTGAGTGGCTGGGCTAAGCATGCATAGTCTCAAAAATAGTTACCTTGAAGACAAATGTCCCTCCACCCCCTCCTCCTCCCCCACCCTGCAGGGAGCTGTCCCTCTTGTTCACGGTGGACCTGGGGTTACAGGCGTGACCAAGGTCATATTCCTTCTGAAACAAAAGTAAGAGTATGAATGATGTCACTGAAGGCCATCATAATGCAGGGGACACCAACATCTACAAACATTGGTATGGTGCTATCTTCAAAGATTGGTATGGTGCCGTCTACAAACACTGGTATGGAGCTGTCTACAAACATTGGTATGGCGCTGTCTACAAACATTGGTATGGTGCTGTCTACAAACATTGGCATGGTGCTGTCTACAAACATTGGCATGGTGCTGTCTACAAACATTGGCATGGCGCTGTCTACAAACATTGGTATGGTGCTGTCTACAAACATTGGCATGGTGCTGTCTACAAACATTGGCATGGTGCTGTCTACAAACATTGGCATGGTGCTGTCTGCAAACATTGGCATGGTGCTGTCTACAAACATTGGTATGGTGCTGTCTACAAACATTGGCATGGTGCTGTCTACAAACATTGGTATGGTGCTGTCTACAACCATTGGTATGGTGCTGTCTTCAAACATTGGTATGGTGCTCCTTAAGAAAGGAACTTAATCTGGTATTATGCAGTAGTGATTGACATCATGAGCATCGATCCACTTATTTTGGATATAATGACATGCATCAACCAAGTCAGCGAGCCTGACTTCTGACCCTGTCAGTCTCCTCTTACGACAAGCATGGTCGTCTTTTATGGCCAACATGGGTTGCTGAAGACCTATTCAACCCAAGATCGTCACGGGTCGCTTACTTAATGAGAAGGTTTTTTGCTGGGGTTTTAATCCATGATCAGTTGCATCACTTTCCCTCCCTTATTACTGCAGGAAGTAACAAGAACTGAATAAGCCCCAGGTATGTATCTCCTGTTCAGGTTCCAGTCCAGGATCAGGTGGTTACAATGTTCCCTGATTGTCTGTCATCCTGTCAGTCAGTCACCTGATTGCCTGGCCCAGATTAAAAAAAATATAGCCTGATGTCATATAGCAGGAACACTGTTGACAACAGCATAAGACGTTAATTTCCATGAATTTACTCATTATTTCCTTCACAATGTCAAAGATAAGATACTGATCTTCTTAACTTGGATCTCTCATATGGTTGGCATTATACAAGTACCTGTTGCTTGCAAGCATGTTCTCCTTCTTGTCCGATGAAGAAGTAAAGGTAGTCTCCCCTTGACAAATTGAACTTAGCCTGAACAAGATCCCCATATGGCGCATCCCCTGTACTGTCCGCTCCAAGGCCACCACTCCCTCCTAAAGCTGAAATACTGAGACAGAAAATAATTCATAAGATTCATGAAATAATTCATAAAATTCCTAAGAGTGAAAGGCCATAGTTTTAATAACCTGTTATTGCAGAATGATAATCACATGCATCTTCTTAAAACAATAATTATATCTTTGTCAATTCTGATTGTTCAGTGAGGTTACCAAATCTACTTTAACTCATCTAAAAACAAATTATTTATATCAAATAGTAATTAATTACATCTACAGTTGAATCTCATTGTGTTCTACTTATGGATATCTTCAAAATAGTTCAGGGTATCCAAGGTTAAAGACAACAAAGTGAATTTCTGAAGAGAGAGATTAAATGTAATCTAGTCATCTTTGGTTTTATGTTACAATCGTCGAAAACCACCTGGTAACACATAATAAAATACATGTATCATGTTATAGTGTTTTCAATAATATACATTGAATCCATTTTGTACTCTTAATCCGTTTCTCAATTTTTTTCTCTATTTTGCAATTTTTTGTCATTACTGCAAGTAATTAAATATTCCTTTTCAGTGGAATGGTTCATTTTCACGTCATAAGTATCAGCCCACATGCATTTATCTTCATTGATTAATCATCAAGTGGCAAGGATAATAGACACATATACTGACTCCGAGCAGACCAGTCCTTGTTTTATCACATTAATGCTGAGCACACAGTGTGATCATTGCTCATTCCTTCAACCACAGTTTGACCTTAATTTGGTTGGTTGGTTTGTTGTTTAACGCCGCACTCAGCAATATTCCAGCTATATGATGGCGGTCTGTAAATAATCAGGTCTGGACCAGACAATCCAGTGATTAAATCATGAGCATCGGTCCAAACAATTGGGATTGATGACATGCATCAACCAAGACAGCGAGCCTGACCACCCGATCCCGTTAGTCGCCTTTTACGACAAGCATAGTCCCCTTTTGCGGCAAGCATGGGTTGCTGAAGACCTATCCTACCCCGGAATCTTCACGGGTCAGTTTGACCTTCATAACTAAGGCCACACTATGAAATAGCTGAAACAACTGTGTTGTAAAACAACATTCACTTCAGATGGCAAAGTCACTGATGTTCAATTGAATTTTAGGCCAACAATTTTGTAAACAAACTAATAAAATATAAAAGACCTAAAAGTCTACTGTGAAGTACATTTAAATATTCAAGCGGTGGTAGTGATTGCACCAGTGGCCACTAGGAGGTCTATATATGTTCAATAGATACTGGTACCATGCAATCTCATTAAAATCAGATCTTACTGATGGCTACCACAAACTTTGACCAACCATAAAATGACTAATAAGAAGTCGTTATTATCCAATCAGAAAGTAGCCTTCTCAGGCTTTACACCACTAGTTTCAAACTGATGACATACATTCCTGATTATACTTTGAAAAAATATTTTGACAAAAGTTCTCCCATTCAAAATTTGAAAAATGAACATAAGAACATTCTGGTATGGTCAAGAATGTGCAGCAATACGTCCTACTGACTATCAAATGTCTCTTCCAATTTCAAATGTTTATCCCATTACAGTGAGAGTTTTTGATGGAGTCAGTTGTATAGCCGGTAACTGTCATTTGGAATACCCCATGTTAACCTTTTTGAAGCTTAAATGATAAGAAAACACATTCCGAATGTCATTTTTCTGATCTGGTAAGCGACGTTTTGATTGGTGGGATGAAAGGTTGTTCTGATGTGACCTGTAATGGGATGTCCACAGATCTTTGTTTAGTGATAGCGAGAACTAAGATCTGATTTTAATGAGATTTGTAGTCATGTTTTTCAGCATGAGTTATATCCCCTGACTTACCTATAGGTGGCAGTGTTTGGCACCTCCCACTTCTGAGCTCCAGCATACTCCCCCTGGAGCACCTCGACTGTCTTCTCTCCCCGATAAGACAAATTACACCTATTCTGTGTTGGTGCCTTGGATCCTGTCCCTCCACAACTGTTAAACTCATAACCTGCAAAAACAACATTCAGATGTTCATGCTCGAAAAAGCTTGCACAGCTATTTTGTTGACCTTGTAACATGCAAACTAATACATGTTGTTTTCCTTCATGTTGTGATACAGAAACATTGCAGGAACTATATCTTGTCATTGCCAACATATATCCCACATCTGACATGCTTGCCAGGTGATATAGGTGATATAGGTGAAATGAGCATGGAATAACCATGGTTCATCATGGTACACAGACCACGGTGCACCATGTCTGGTAATTGGCTCGACAAATACAATTACAATAAAATGATCACTTGCTAATATCTTAACAAAAATGCTCTTAGATACTTGGCCTTGACCAATTTCTAACCTCACCCACCTACTGGGGTCTCAAGAGACAGCAAGATCTGAGTCCAACCATTTGATATTCTGAGGTGCTTGACCAATTTCTAACCTCACCCACCTATTGGGGTCTCAAGAGACAGCAAGATCTGAGTCCAACCATTTGATATTCTGAGGTGCATGATATTTTTGCTAGCGAATTACTTTTTTTTGGATCAAGATATGGAATGTTTTTCCCAGAAAGGTGCAGCCAAATGCATTTTGTTCACGACACCCAGAGTATTTTTGAGCGTGTGTAAAACTTGAGTCTAAATTCATCGCTACAAGTACTTGTTAGAACAAACTAAGTTTAAAAAAACAAATCCCCATCCACTTCAAATAGCAAATGACCAGTCCCCAAACAATTGCTAATGTCAGCACATTCAGCTACTCAGGATGACTCCACTCTCCAATATTTATCCTTCACACTGACAATGATGTAGGACTGTCATTCAGGTTACTCATTAACCCACAAACCCTCAACAATAAATCCATACACAACAGTCATATGTCCGATATAAACTCACAACCTGTACACACAATACTTCTGACATTCACACTATTGCCTTGACATACTCACATTAAACTGAGCCACCGTTTCTGAAGTCCTATATAATCCATAAAATAACAGTCAAATGCCATCGTGAGAATTTAAGTAATGCTACCTGGATATGAAGAGTTCCACATCTGGAACCCTATACAACATAAAACAGCAATGTGGTCATGAACACTAAACTCCTCGCCTTCAAAAACAATACAGAACATTATTCAGATCTGTTATGGAGAGAATATGAAACAACAATTGATAACACTGGAAACCGTACACGCTATAGTGAGTGAGTGAGTGAGTGAGTGAGTGAGTGAGTGAGTGAGTGAGTGAGTGAGTGAGTGAGTGAGTGAGTGAGTGAGTGAGTGAGTGAGTTTGGTTTTACGCCGCTTTTAGCAAAATTCCAGCAATATCACGGCGAGGGACACCAGAAATGGGCTTCACACATTGTACCCATGTCTGGATTCAAACCCGGGTCTTCGGTGAGGTGAGGTGAAATTGGGTTTAACGTCGCGTCCAAGATTATTGCACTTATATAGCGACGTGCATGCACGTGTATGTGTGTGTGTGGCTGCTTGTACTAGTCCGGACTGATGCCGATTTATAGTGCTAGCTCACTGAGATACCATGCCGCAGTTTAACATGAATACCCCACTCAGACACAGTATACTGACTCCGAGCCGACCAGTCCTTGTTTTAGCCCCTTAATGCCGAGCGCCAGACAGGGTAACAACAAGTACAATCTTTTAACGTCTTTTTGTATGACGCGGCCCGGGATCGAACCCTGGACCTTCCGCTCTCCGGGCGGACGCTCTACCACAAGACCACGGAGGCGGTCCGGGTCTTCGGCGTGACGAGCGAACGCTTTAACCACTAGGCTACCCGACCGCCCCCTACACGCTATTGTCAAAGATAAGAGCAAAGAACATTTCTCCCTATGAAAATATGATGAAGAGGGTCTCATTCCCAGCATCAAGTGTTGCAATGTTAAATGAAGCGAGCACAGCTTGGTGCTGCCAGCTATGACTCTCTTCATTAGGTAGCTAATGACTGGTCATCCAATTTGGGATGCGAATGAATGGATTAAGAAAATTACAACTGTCCCTCACTATCCCAAGATGTCACCATGGCTGTCATAACTGAATTGTCTGATAGGCATTACTTAGAAGTTGACGCATGACGAAGTAGGGATAATTTATGGATAACAACTTCTTTATTTACTTTATTTGACAATGGTATAAGGATCTATACCGAAACGTTGCCTTTACAGTAAATAAAGAAGTTGTTATCCATAAATTATCCCTACTTTGCTGTCATAATTGTTGAATTTTAAACATATTTTCTTCACATGAAAATTTCTAGGCAAAACTTTGTACCTTTCCCACATTTTTATATATCCCTGGATGATGACAACAATTTGCAAAAGTCACAGATCAAAAGGTAGGAAAGAATGAAAAATAAATTGCTTAAATCCATTATGATTTTACAGTTTGACGAATGTATTCATTAACCGAAATCAGAAGCTCGGTGCATTTGCCATTTGGTATCAACTCAATATTTACATGTGTTACACTGTAACAACATCAACTGAAGCACACATGGATTCATCTCCAAATACACTGGACAAAAGACTGTCTATATAAAGTGATGATAACAATGTTACTACACTGGTTAACACTGGTTACTACAACAGCTGGGATCATCCTTTAGAAATCTGCGAATTAAAATTGTTCTAGCTTGGTTGTCACAAATATCACAGTTTCTCAAACACTGAGTGAGTGAGTGAGTGAGTATGGTTTTACACCGCTTTTAGCAATATTCCAGCAATATCACGGCGGGGAACACCAGAAATGGGCTCCACACATTGTACCCATTTCGGGAATCGAACCCGGGTCTTCGGCGTGACGAGCGAACGCTTTAACCACTAGGCTACCCGACCGCCCATCAAACACTATGAGAATTAGTGGACTTAAACCACTAAAAAAGGTTCCATATTTCTTTGTTGAACTGTGTACTTTGAATTCTTTTTGAAGATGGTATTGATTCAAATCATACAATTTGTGTTCAACAAATGGCTGGATTGTTATGGTACCTAAGATTGTAGGTTATTGGAAAGAAATGGAGCATGGCAGTAAATATCCATCCCAATAAGACGTTGACATATTATTGATGGTCATCCACAAGGTCATGCATATGTGAGTATTGAGTACAAGTGCACTTGAACAACGCTTTTTACAATGTCCTTGGTGTGAGACACCAAGAATGTGTTTTGCTATTTTCACTTGTACCATATGTTCCTGGGTGTTTTTCAGGTGAACTATTGACTTGCCTTTGCATGTGTTTGTGACAGGTAGCATTGATGAGGCAGGATTTGCTCACCTTTTTACAACAAACCTGGTATCATCTGTATTTGATAGCGATTCGTAAACACATGCTCAAGATATAGTCATAAGCGTATTATAGATTCGGCTTTTAGCAGAGATTTTTTTATAATTATGGAATGGGTTTTGTTGCATTTTGTTAACACAATCAACCCAGGCAATCAATCCCAGGCCATTGGCGTGATAAGCAAATATTTGGCTATGCCACTGCCCGATTTTGTTAAGACTTCAGTGGTTGATCACTGAACTGGTTTCATGACATTTTATTGTTTGTTTGTTTATTTGTTGTTTAACACCGCACTCGGCAATATTCCAGCTATATGAAGGCTGTCTGTAAATAATCAAGTCTAGACCAGACAATCCAGTGATTGACATCATGACCATCAATCTATGCAATTGGGTAATGACATGTATCAACCATGTCAGTGAGTCTGACCACCAGATCACCCAAAATCAGGTACGGTAACTACAGTGTAACATACCGTAACTGGAATAATACTTAGGTCTGTGCTTGAAGAAATGCTGTTTGTTTCATTACCTTTTTCCAGCAATTGATTTGAAATAAGCTTTTTGGTGTCATCTAAACAAGTATGTGATCTAAGTAGTACACAAACATTGTGGCCTAGTAAGACTGAAATGGAGCATCACACCTGTCTGTATATTAAGTGAAACCTACTTAAACATGCATGGAAAGAATTTGGAATATGATCTTCCATAAACCCTTATCGTATCACATAAACGAGCTGTAATTATTCTAAATATGGTAATTACCATGTATGTTATAAATAATTGCCTGAACACCTTTTTGAGTTGATGATTGTGACAGCTTTCAAATATTCCCATTTTCTCGATTGCTGATGAATATATAGTGGGGATGACAAGGACATTAACTGACAAACACAGTTTTGGTATCAGGAACACATTTGAAATATGAATAAATTTAAAAATCAGAAATCTTCTCAGATTTGTCCTCAGCTTCTGGTAGGTACTGTAGCCGTCACCATCTAAAAACCTGCATCAGAGAGTGATTGAGTTACGTTCAGTTATATCATGATGTGTCAGCTTGCTCACCTAGCAGTGTAAGAGCACTAAGGTACTATGTGTAAGAGCACTAAGGTACTATGTGTAAGTGCACTAAGGTACTATATTCTGGAGTAAAACTTCCCCCGGGATAATATTTAGGTAGGATATAATCCTTGCTCATAGCAGCACCTGCCACCACACAATCTGCATAAACAAGTAAGGGTTGGTTTCCTAATGACAAACCCAGCATTACTTCTGCCATACAATAGCAGCATGTAAACAGTCAAGTCTGGACCAGGCAATCCAGTAACATGAGCAATGAATAATTTGTGTCATCTCGGAATGACGCCCAATGTCAACCAAGTCTACCGCCAACAGTCTTGAAGGACGATAGGGATAAGATGGAAATTTCAAAGTTGATGTTTTGGATCAGTTGTGCGTAATACCACCATGATTTGTCAAACATTCATTGACTCGATGAGGCATACTGCATACGAGTCTCCCAATGGCAATCTGTCCCACTCTGATGCACTCCTCTTGCAGTGCTTGGCCAAGTTCAGTGGTAGGCTGCCTATGACGTTGACACACACATCTCCCTATCATGTCCCAGACATGTTCAGTGGGGGAAAGATCTGGTGTCATTGCTGGTCTATGGATGTTGTGCTGCTGGAGGTGAGCATTGACGA